TTGCTTGCCTTTTGCTTTTTTCTGTATTATTCCCTTCCCTTTTGGTTTGTTAGCCGCCCCGAGTCCCTTCGGGAATAGGGCGGCATACAAGTGTAATAAACCTTGAAACCTTGAACCTTCCCCTTCGTGGTGTTTGGCTAGAGGTGTTCCCAAACTTGGCAACTTTAAGACTTGTGGACTTCAACTCCCAGAATTCTCCAGACAGCATGCCCAATGGCTGGCTGGAGTTGCCAAGTTGGACACCTCTGCTTTAGATATTGCTTCTTCCATTGATGTGGCCGGGAGCTGTTGTTCCCATTGCTCTGAAAAAAAGTCATGTATTCCTAAAACTGGCTTCATAATAAAAACCTTAAAGTAGCCTCACTTGTCTATATCTTTTGGGAGGGAGTAGGGGAGACTATCTTGAGCTACCGCATCTTTCTTATTTGAGTGATATGATTTGGGAAATTCAAATAAATAACTAATAAGTTTAATAATTGATTACTCTTGCATATATCTGCTTTTAGTTTCCTTTCAAAAGTGCGCTACCCAGCCCTTAAGAAATGTCCCATTTGATAAAAACATAGCATATATTGAAATGATCTTCACCAAAACAGCCACAAAATTACTAGAACTTATTTGAATACACTTAGAATAATGCAACTAGAAAATTAGATGCATGACAAATGAGTTAAAGTGGTTCTTTTTCAGACAATAGTTGTTACTACTACAGGTAGAATGCTAGCTTAGTGTAGTGGTTAAAACACCAGATAGAAACTTGGAGACCATGAGTTGTAGTCTCCCCTTAGGACAGTGTTTCTCAACCTTGGCAACTTGAAGATGTCTGGACTTCAACTCCCAGAATTCCCCAGCCAGAATTCCCCAGCCGCATTCGCTGGCTGGGGAATTCTGGGAGTTGACGTCCAGACATCTTCAAGTTGCCAAGGTTGAGAAACACTGCCTTCGGAACAAAGTTAGCAGGATGACTTTGGGCCAGTCACTCTCTCAGCTCTAGGAATAAGGTTGGCAACAGTAAAGAACTTCTGCAATCTTGCCAAGAAAATTCGAAGGTGCGTACCAGAGGTGGGTTGCTCCTGGTTCGGCCGAACCAG